CCCCCCCCCCCCCCCCAAGGGGCGGGTCCATGAGCAGTGGTGTTACTCACCACCTCTGCAACGGGTGAGGCATATTTGCATATGCAAGTCATATTTTGTATGTCTTTATGAGGGGACACGTGGCATGAATGCGCGGATGAAATATAAGCGATGGATGACTGCGTAGGTACATGAATGAAATGAGAACAGGTCATGCGGTCTCTTGTAACATACTTGTCATACAAGAAGTTGGGGACCAACTGGTGTACGGCACCGATGCGTGGAATCCACCAAATCCACCAAATGTCTTTACCATTGCAGGCATTGTAGAGTGCAGTTCAGGCGGGAGCCAATGTGCATGGCTATCTCATGCCAGCGACTAGTTTGGTTGTATATGGGCGTTGCAATGACCTGCTGCTCCGATGAGACATGCTCTTGAGAGCTGAGGTTGGTGTATGGGGGCTCTGTTGATATGTTGAGTCCTGCCTGCTGGCTCAAATAGAAGCCCGGTAAGAACTCACAGGCCTATCACCACTGAGGGCAAATGGTGGGACATCAACTTCCTTCACGATATCAGTGACACAGGCTCCAATCCTTGACTCAAAGGCTCTCAAGGCGGGTGTATCGAGATGCGCCTTCAATAGCTGTCCGATTGCCCAACTACTGCTGTCGGCTGCCAAAGCACAGCATCTGTCCACCATCTTGCGCACGTCGTTTTCAAACCCAACAACTTGCTTCTGCACATCTTTGTACCAAATGTTGTGGAAGCTGCTCTTCCGAAACGCCTCTGGGCAGCGCCTGATTGGGACGATGATATAGGAAGGCAGATCCCCCTTCACTCCACACCAGAGGGACCCTACGGTCCAACCAATGATTTTGAGTCCAAACACGGCCTCTGTGCCACTCCGCATCAAAAAGTACTGGATTTGGCCGTAGCATCGGACACCCTCGCAAAGATGGTGACGGATGACGGAGCCTAGGTGAACGGTGTCGTCGCTAGTGGGACTCAAGAGCCAGAACAACGCCTGTCTCGCTTCGCCAATACTCCTGGAGAGAAATTCTGCGAGGGCAGTGTAGTCGAGTGAGATAAGTGGCCCGCGGTCGGTTGAGATAGCAAACGTCGATCGCGGACTCTGGAACGTGAGAGTCGTCGGCCCGGTGCCGTCGGTTTCAGCCGTAGTGGAGCCTGGGTGCGGGTATTCAGTATTGGAGCCGGTAGCCTCATGGTAAGAAGGTGGATGAAGGTAGCTCTCCCGTCCGTGGCTGGATGACGAGGGCATGTTGGCTCGGGACAAGAAGCTCGTCAGCTGCGCGTCAGTAAAGGAGAAAGCTGGAGACAAGTGCGTAACCCCATCAGCGCCTATCGAAGCTCAACTTTGATGTCGATCAGAAGCCACACCCAGAGCACGCTTCCTTTTTTCGTCGGCTACCACTACCGGTGATGAAGAGAGAATTCCTGGGTCCGGCTTTTGCCATGATTCAAGACAAGACCTCGCCATGTATGGGCCAGAGTTCACACACGGCAAGGTATGAGCCTAAGGAGCAGGGTGTGTCCGACACAGCTGCTCGACAATCGGTCAAGCCATGGCTTTCGAGCACCGCAAAATAGAGGGGTGGACAGCATACCTCACAATGACAACACATGCGCGCAATGCACTGTGAGTATTTTGTGGCCTTGGAACGCCCACTGCCAATTTCAACATTGGAGACAACGCCGGGCATGCCGCCGCGGATCAACAAGTAACGATCACAAAGGTGGACGGGTCGGCACACGGAATGAACGAACCTAAAACTTGATAGAGGACATGAGACGATGTCTTCAACGTCTAAGTTTCGGGTATGAGATTGTGGGGCACAATGCGCAGTACATGTCATTATAGCGCAGACACAATATCTTCTGCAGTGTCGTCCGAAGCAAGAACCAGAGTTGCTGAGCGTGTGGGCCTGACTCGCTGGAGGGACATTCTAATACCTGGCATGTCCAATGACCACAAGAAAAATTCGCATCATGACGCATGACGAGTCAACTCGTCGCCGGAAGTCCTTGGTTTATGCCGGCCCACAGACCGGTATTACGATGAGACCAGAAAGAGAGCAAGCTGGGTGCACTGCCTTGATAAGCCACGATGCGTGATGGCCCGCCAATAGCCAGCTCACACACGTCTAGTTGGATAGAGCATCACGGCGTACTGACAACGCACGTTGGGAGCATTGCGGAGCGCAGGATCCCATCACGTTCCATGT